TCTCTCTCTCTCTCTCTCTCTCTCTCTCTCGCTCTCTCTCAATTTCTTTATCTAACAATTTATTTAGTAAATCACACTTTATTTTGATATTACTTTTTCATATTGGTGTAATTAATAAAATCATTGGTATTTACAATTTTATTTTAACATTCATAACAACAATACTATATTATAACAAATTTTATTTAACAGGCCCAGTGAGCAAATATTTATTTTTTAAACAGATTTATAAATCAATTAATTTGCTTAAATAAATAACATTTATTATTTCTCTAAAAGAAAGTTAATACAATGCTTTAATAAAACAATTATAGTTAATTAATACCAAGAGTACTCGCGATAGTGTTTAGTACTTGTTTATAGATACCGCCGATAACAGGGACGTATGCGATGGGTAAATGCATTAGGACGTTGATATACATCTTAATTAAGCCCAATATTTTGCCCTTAATGGCTGACAAAGGACCGGATGGCTGATCGGGAGTGCCGGTGCCGTCGTCCGCCCCCACCATTGAGATGCACGCGATGGCCAGTGCCGACACTATTACCGCGAGTAATACGTATTTATTCATCGTTTTATTATAAAAATTATTTATTAATTTATAATTAAATTTTTATGTTTAATAACTGTTTAATTATATGCTAAATGCAATTGTTTTATGCATCGATTTATGTGTTTTTTGTATATTGAGTTTCAAGAATATTCTTGTAATTGTGTTGACAGGTCTGACACTTCCATAGTATACGCGAGAGTACTGTACATTTAATTATAATTAAAAATAATGGTGTGTTTTACCGAAATAAATTAATTCATAAAATTATACAATTATTAGTAATCAATGATTTTTTGCATTTAATACGCCTGTTATGAAAACAATGAGACAGGTCATCAACAAATCTAACCATATTTTATTTACAAACTACAGTATGTACGCAATAAATCATTATCATTGCAGTTAGATATCAATAAATAAATACTAAATAACAATAATAATGTAACAAATTTTGCGTTAATAATTATTAAACTTATAAAAAATTTTAATTGATTGGCATTTTAAAAAATTATATAAGTTAAGTTTAATAATTAATTAAAAATGAATAGAAATTTTACATTTATGATATTATCTGCTCTATGGCTCTATTTGGGTGCAATGTCTCGCCCGGATGTCAGGGGCTTAGGGTTTCAACAAGGGTCGGGGTTTGATCTGGGCCTAGGCCTGTTTTCAAATCCTGCCCAACAACCAAGCACAACTGAAACATCACAGGCATCTAGTTCATCATCATCATTATTACCTGGGTCAAGTTTTGTCGAGAGCTCAACTAAATCACCTTATGGTGAATCAAACAATAAGCCTAATATTGACACTAAACAAACCTCTGAATTACCGGTAGGAATATATGACTATTGAATAAATTGCCATGTTAAATTTGATAAATTTTGTAAAATTAATATTTGTATTATAAATAAAATAGAATATGATACATTAAAGTAATAAATACAATTTAATAGGTGATTGGCGAGCTAGAGCACCTTGGTAGTGATGTAATTAAGGACGCAGAGTCGGCGTTAAAAGAGGCCACAACCGATGTTACACACCCTATGCTACCAACCATTGAATCATCAGGGTCGGGTTCATCTTTCTCGGGCTCAGGTCCCACACAAAGTCCAACTAAATCCACGCCCGATAGGCTGTCTACTACTGAATCCAGTCCTGTCGATAATCTCAAGTCTAATCCTGTATCTAATCCGGACGCCCAACAATCGGTTAGTACTTTATTTATATGGTTAAGAAATTAATCGTGTTTATTAAATTATTAGTAGTTGATTAAGCTTATATTTGATATAATCAACGTTTATTAATTTACAATAATGAGTTAAAATAAATTGTTTGCGTTAATAGGTGCTAGGTGATTTATGGAATCTAGGTGGCGGTTTGCTCAGGGGAGTGGGACAGTTGGCTAACACTACCGTACAGGGTGTGGGTTCAACGGTCAACACCACTATAACGGATATTACCCAACCTTACAGTTCACCCAAGACATGGATCGAGAAGTTATATGTTTGGGAGCAACAGTCTGTGCTAGCTCAAATACCATTCACGCATCAATTGTGCATGAAAGTATTAGATTTTATTCAATCCGCTGATCAAGGTATCAAAAAGTTGATAATGTGGTGGAATTTAATTAAATTGTTTATGCCATTAACCACTCAATCCACGTTTGTTATAACATAAATCAATAACAGTTTTTCTACATACTGTACAACTGTGTAGTTATTCAATTGTAGGTAAAACTGAAAAAATTAATATTTTGTTGTATATTTATTGTAAATTATTATTAAATATGTCATTTATTTAAACTTCTTTGTGTTATTTTTAAATTTTGTTTTTATTAATCTTATTTTTTAAATTTTAATATAGAAAATAATAAGATTGAAATCTATATTAAAATTTAAAAAATAAGATTGAGAGAGAGAGAGAAAATATTTGTATATTAAC